ACTATATCCTCAGCCAATTGGTTAAATTGGACTGCCGTTACTCTGAAATAGAAATAATCAATGATAAATATTCATCAAGACGAAAAATTTTTATTAGTGTTCATTAAATATATTTGTTGAGTAAATAATTGTCATTGTCAACATAAAATACTTTTGAATTAAAAATTATACTTGTAGTTTATAAGATCCTTTTCAATCTCGTTCCACATAATTAGAGATATTAATTTGTGTCGATCAACTGTTTTGGTTTGTTTGTAAAAGTTTTAATGCGGAAAAAAATAATTTTAAAATAGTAGCACATCGTCGATCTGATCTCATTATTTCAGATTTAATCCAATTTTGATAAGTAAGATGTTGTGGTTTTTTAACTAATTTACCACCATAAATTTTAATAAAACTTAACGCTTCAGCATACTCATCAAACAGTGAAACTGGACTTTGACCTTCACCTGGAGCAAAGACAATAGCTTGAGTCATAAGAAGAGTTGACTCATCTTCTATATTTACAGGTTCTTCCTCGTCAGAATTATTTTCGGATGAATTACTATCATCACAATCAGAGTTATCTACATTTATTTTACAAAGATTGTCACTATTTTCACCATCAATATTATAAATGTTTCCATGATCATTTGATGTTGCGAAATTATTACCATCATTAATTCTCTGAAAATCCAATTTTATATTACAATGCTTATAAACTTCGGAGTTTTGTAATACTTTTGCAGCTTTTTTTATTGCTTGAGGTCGTACATTTTCAAACATAATATTAGATTTAAAGCATTTTTTTCTTCTGAAACATATTGGAACGATCATCATTTCCGATTGAACTCTGGGAAGAATATTGACGGAAGTTTCTACATTTGTTGGAACATTAACAGCTCGACCTTTAACAAAGTATTGGCCATCATTTATCGTTGCTCTGATTGTCATAAATGGAATTCGTGGACATATAAATCTTTCTTCTAAGTCAGTTAATTTTAAAACTTCATCAGGCACTTTTGGAAATTGAAGTTCTTCATAATACATCGATAAAGATGGAATTTTATTGTTTTTCATCATTTTTTCACAGCTTGAACATAAGTATCCAATAGTCAAATCATCGGGCATTTTACAAATTAAACGTAATAATGATAAATCATAATGTTTAAAGTCTTTTTTTGTTAAAAATTTCACTGATGATTTGAACCATAAGCGGCAGCAACAAGAACACTCATATGTTGGGCCTTCCAATTTTAATAAGTTGAATTTATCAAATAATGCTTCACGATGTGAATCTTCAATTTTTTTATTTCTTAACAATTTATTTTTTAAAATTCGACGTGTATGTAACTTTCGTAATTGTATATTCTTCAACCTTTTTAATTGACAAATCTTCAACTTATTCCTATGTATTTCTCTTTTCTTTAGAATAAATAATCTTTTGCTCTGACAATGTTTATTTTTTTGATTGTGTTCCTCTCTTTTTTGTGTATCTAACAATCTTCGTGATTGAACAATTTTATTAATCATGTTATGCTTATTTCTATTATTATTATCACTCAATCTCAATTTTTGTGATTCTTTTAATCTTTTTAGATTAATTTGCTTTTTAGTTGGATCCTGTAATCTTTTCTTTTGAGATAATTTTAGTCTCTTTCGATGAATTTTTTTATTAGATTCATTTTGTAATCTCATATTGAGATATTTTTAATCTCTTTCGATGAATTTTTTTTGCATTTTCATTATTTAATCTTTGCTGTTGACAGATTCTTAATTTTATCAAATGATTTTCACGATTATTTATGTCTATCAATCTGCACTTTTGATACATTTTATTTTTGTATTTATATGCAAGCGTCTTACGATAATTTTTCATTCGTTCATTATGCTTCATTAAATTTTTATCTATCGAAAATACCGATGTTGTATTGTGTTTGCTGATGATATCAAATTGATTGTTTGACCTACGATAGTTTGATCAATATCATTATTGGTTTTATCATTGCTTTCATTCCTAGTTTTATGAATGTAATTTATCCACTCTTTTTTCTTTTGAGAATAACTCTTGCGATTAAGCTTCGGCATTTTCCGAGCAAGATTTTTTTTACTCTTACTGTATATATTCAGTTTTAACACCTGATTATAATATAATGACTAGCGAAATTCATTAAATTATAAATCAGAATGTTAACTAAATAGAAAAAATTACGATATTTAATTTTTACAGTAATTTATCAATAATTATAAAGTTAAATTACGGAATATCAAGTACGACACCAGATTATCTATTGCCTAAAATTAACATGCGCGCTTAGCGCGCGATATTTAGGCTTCTAAAATTATAAAAAATTTCAAAATAAAATTATTTTATGCTCTGTAAAAAATTGCTAGTTTTTAAGTAGAATTAATTAAAAAATAATAATATAGACATTCTAAATATTATTAATAAAACAAAGATAATAATAATAATACTATTAAAAATTATTTAAAATTCATACCATTCAAAATCAAGTTTTAAAATACCTCTTATTGATAAATATAATATTATACAACCCTTGATAATTTACAGCTTCTACTTTTTTTTTAATTTCTGTCAACTTGATTATTTAAGTAGGGAAATTGGATCTACGAAAAATCGAAATAATTATAATTAGTGTGCTTCATAATAACGTTCGAGACATTACAAAATCAAAATTGAAAAACTGGAGAAATTGGAAAATTTCGAATTTGCATATCTTTTGAAAAAAAAATTTTTTTTTTCCTTTTACAGAACTTCGTTATATGATAAAAGAAGACTTCTGACCAAAATTTGTCCAAATCGAAAGGGTTTGTTTTCAACTATTGTTTGATTTGACATGGAATGACCCATAAGTAAATATTTTTCGTTAATAATTAATAAAAATTAGCATTCGTCAAATTATTAAGAATTTCGGACAAGCATTCTATTAAATATATGCATATTATTATTCTAAAGTTGATAATAATGGGTTTTTAATACATATTAATTGATTTCTTGTGTTTAAGACGAAAAAAAACCGTAATTTTGAACAGTCTGAAGTTTGAGGCTCGATATCTTTGAAACGGCTTGACTTACGCAAAATTTCAATCCGACCTTTTTGTAGAGCATTTAATTGCCCATAATCAAAAAGTTTAGTTTTATCTCTAAAGTAGATGGTTGTCACGTAACAGAATTCCAAACTTTAAAAGAATATTTTTCTATGTTATTTAAATGGGAAATAGAAATTACTTGACGCCACCTCTAAATATTAATATTAAGAGCTCATATTTTCAGAGGATCTTTTTCTAGAGATATTCTGACGATTTCTCAATGTTCGTTGAAAAAAAAAAAATATTCAATTTTTTTGATACCTCTAACACATACATACATACATACATGTGTACGTGCAAGTACATTTACATACACACAAATACATAGTTTCTTTAGTTAACTAAGTCCTTTATTTTATTATTAACTAATTTATTTATTGATTTATTTATTGATAATAATATTTATTATCAATAATTAGTTATTATTCTTTAAGATTATTTAAATATTTTCTATTGTTCTAATTATTGTTTTTCACTAAAGGAATTATTTAAATTATTTATGTTATTATTATTTTTAAAATTTACTACTAATATTATTATTATTTTCGGATCTTCCTTAAATTATTTTATTTTATTTGTCTCTAGAATTTTATTTTATTTAAAACGTTAAAATTTCCAAAATCCTTGTAGATAATGCTAGTCAATACAGAGGGCAATAAAACTTCCATTTACTTATGTATTTAGGATTTTTAATCTCTAAAGAACTTGGATCTGTCTAATGACGGGAATTTTTTTTAGATAGTTCAGACGAGAAACTTAATGAGTTTTCTCATTATTAGGGGGAGACGTCTATTAGGTGTAGACCAATGAGTTAGATTACCGGTGACTTAGATCCCGATTACCTAGATTTCTATAACCCAGAATCCGATTACCCAAATTATCCATGACGTCGAATTTCTATGAGATAGATTACCGATTACCTAGAATTCCGATCACTTAGAATCCGATTTCCTAGAAATTTTATTGGATATAATTCCGATTACACTGAAATCCGATTGTCTATAATTCTGTTAACTTACAATCCCTATGGCATGGATTTCTTTTACCTCGTAAAAAAAAAGTTCATTTGGATAGATGGAGTTCTATGCAACACAACGTTCATTTTCTGTGAAAACTTAAGATTATTTTCATAAAGCGACAATATAATCAGATATATATGTTCAATGTATATTTATGATGGTTAGTAGTGTAATGTTGTGACAGCTTATAAACATCAGGTGAGGTTATAAATAATTATT